TGGCCTATCTCCACCTCGTCGGCGGGCTGGGACGTGCGCCTCCCTTGCCTCCGGGACCAGCTGCAGCTGCGGCGGTCGAGGGGCCGCGGGTCCAGCCACCGTCCCGGCGTCTGGCCAGCCGCCGCCCGCCTCGCAGTCTCTCTCGGTGAGCTCGGCAACGAGGTTCAAGAAGGAGCCTCTGGTCGGTAAAGGCGACGACCTGAGCAGCCCGCCCGAGGGTCAGGCAGGAGGAGGAGGAAGAGGAGGAGGAATAGTTGAAGGAGGAGGAGGAAGAGGAGGAGGAAGAGGAGGCGGAGGAGGAGGGGGAGGAGGAGGAGGAGGAGGAGGAGTGAGGGGAGAGGAGGAGGAGGAGGAGGAGGAAGGAGGCGGAGGAAGGAAGAGGAGAGGGGAAGGAGGATGAGGAGAGGAGAAGGAGGAGGAGGGAGGAGGAAGAGGAGGAAGGGGAGGAGACGGAGGAGGAGGAGGAGGAGGAGGAGGAGAGGAGAAGGAATGTGATGATGATGAAGATGATGATGATGATGCTGATGATGCTGATGAGATGAGAGGATGAGGATGACGATTGAGGTTGAGGTAGAGGATGAGATGAGGATGAGACGAGGATGAATGATCATCGATGATGATGATGATGATGATGATGCTGGATGCTGATGCTGATGCTGATTTGATGATGCTGATGCTGATGATGATGATGATGTGATGATGATGATTGAGATGATGCTGAGATGAGATGATGATGATGATGAGGAGGAGGAGAGGAGGAGGAGGAGGAGGAGGAGGAGGACGAGGAGGAGGAGGAGGAGGAGGAGCTGGAGTTGTCGGAAGGAGAGGGAGGAGGAACAGATGGAGGAAAACAGCCAGAGGAGCAGCAGCCTGCCGCAACTTGTCTCTCTCATCCCCAGAGAGTCCGGGCAGGTCAGCTGTCCGTGGGCCTCATGGTGCGGCCGCCCACGGCAGACGCCGCCCCGCGCTACGAGCAGGACGGCCGCCGGGCGCTCCCTGCGGCGGCATCTCACGGCAGCCACTGCCCCTCGTCGTTGGAGGTCAACCACGGCAGCCAGTGCTTCCTTCTCCTCCTCCTCCTCCTCCTCCTCCTCCTCCTCCTCCTCTTCCTCTTCCTCTTCCTCTTCCTCCTCCTCCCCCTCTTCCTCTTCTCCCTCCTCCTCTTCTTCCTCCTTCTTCTTCTTCTTCTTCTTCTCCTTCTTCTTCTTCTCCTGCTTCTTCTGCTCCTCCTGCTCCTCCTCCCCCTCGAGGAGGCGGCAGCCCACGCCAGCCAGCTACGGCAGCCAAATCAATGGGGAGGACTCTCGTCGTTGTCGGCCCCTGGGGGCCCTCGCCGGGCCCCGGGACCGTCAGCAGAAGTTGCTCGGGACCAAAACGCTGGCCTCTGGTGGAGGACCATCAGGACGTCTCTGACAGGCGCCGCTGCGGTTGGCAGGCTGCTGGCGGACGAGAGCAGGAGAACAGACGAGTTGTTCTCCGCCATCGAGGGCGCCTGTCCCAGGGCGGCTGGAAGGTTTCTACTCCCACGGTGGCGCGTGGGGGTCTGCATTTTTCAGCCGCCTTGGGACAGGCGCACCCGATGGCGGAAGATCTTCTCTCGTGCTGTTCTTCGTCGGCTACGCGACGGGCCAGGTTCGAGGTTCGCGGCCCGACGTTCGAGGGACGAGGCTTGAGGAAGGATCTCGATGATCGAGGGGTTACAGTGGAGGCCCGTGCCGAGAAGCACCCTGCTTGCCTCCAGGGTGCCCTGTGTTTCTTTGGGTTTCGATGGTTTTGCGATGGAAACTGTGACGCTCCCACGCCGGACATCGATGGACGTCCTGGGGTCTCAGGGTTGGGTTTCCTGTGGAGGGCTTCCTGTGGACTGCTCCACTGTGCTTTCCCAGGATAGGGGGCCGCACATGCGAACCCTACCCCTACCCCCCGCGGCTTCTGAGGGGGAGGGCGGGCTTCGCTTCGCTCGGGAGCTCCCCAACGAAGTGAACCCCGCCCTCCCCCTCAGAAGTCGTCGGGGGGTAGGGGCAGGGTTCGCCTCTGGCCCCCTCACGGTGCTCTCCCAGGACAGTGCCTGCACTCGGGGGGGTCCTGCCTGGGCGCCTCGCGGAACTGCACTGGGGGCCAGCCGAGGCCTCGCCTGGCGCCCCCGGCCGGGGGGCGCCCGGGGGCGCCTCGCGGGTCTATAGGCGTCCGTCGGGCATGCCCCTTCTACAGGAGGAGCATTCAGAAGTGGTCAGAGAGTGGTCTGGGAGCGATCTTCCAAAAGCATCTACGATCCTCTGTTGTGGGTATTCTTCGACATGTTTTTAAACTGTTCCCCCGAAAAACCTGCCTGTAGGAGTCAGGAGGGAAACAAAAGCACAGACACAAATAATCGTCGATTCCCTAGAAAATATGGGAAAATATGGGAAGTCGGGGGGAAGACAGAAACCCAGAAAATATAGGGAAATTTTGGGGAATCCTGTTATTTGTGTGTATTTATTTGTATGTCCCAGGGCCGCTTCAAGGAGGAGTACTCAGACGTGGGCAGAGAAGGGTACAGGCGAACCTGGCCGTGGCGACGAGGGACGGGCTGCCCCTTCAACCCTTTCGCGCCGCCCTCTTGGAGTATAGGACGCTCGCTCTGCGCCCGGAGCCGCAGGGCGCGCGGAGGGCGACTATCTCTCTGCGCCCTTCGCGGGCGACCTGGGGGCATCCGTAGAGGAGTCTTCAGAAGCAGGCAAAGAATAGTCTGGAAGCGATATTTTCCAAAACCATGTCTGATAATCTGTGGGTCTTCTTCGACTATTTGTTTAAATTTTCCCTCCAAACACCTGCCTGTAGGGGGACGTGCCCGACCGAAGTCCAGGCCGCCCACACGGGGTCGAAGTAGGTGGGGTCGGCGGGTCGCGCCGCGTCGCCGCTGCATCGGCGGCGCGACTCGCTGTGCGTCGTCGGTGCCTCGCCGGTGCCTCGCCGGTGCGTCGGCGGTGCATCGGCGATGCATCGGCGATGCGCCGGCGATGCGGCACGATCCTCCGATGTCGCCGGTGCCTCGCTGGTGCGTCGCAGGTGCCTCGCCGGTGCATCGCCGGTGCGTCGGCGGTGCATCTCGAAGAAGAAGAAGAAACACCATAAGCATAAACTTTTGGCGCTCCGCGGAGCTTTCTCGGATCTGCGCTGGGGCCCCCCGGCAGCACCTCCAGCGCAGCCCCTGGTGCGCTCAGCGCGCCAGGGAGGAGGGTCCAGCGCAGATCCAAGAAATCCGCGCGGAGCCTCAACAGTTTATTTTTATAGCGTTTTCTCTTCTTCTAGCATCGGCGATGCATCGACGTTGCGTCGGCGATGTGGCACGATCATCCGACCCCACCTACAGAGGAAACCCATGGCAAGAAACACCCTGCTTGCCTCCAGGGTGCCCTGGGTTTCTTGGATTTCGATGGTTCTGCTATGGAAAGCGCGACTTCACACCAAGAATCAATGGTCGGCGAAGGTTGGCGGCATCGTTTCCCAGCACGTGTTTGCTTGGATTGTCGCTGTCCTGTTCGCCGTATCGACCGACATAGTCGGTTTGTTTCCGCGCGCGTTATCGCGACAAGCTTGCTGCTATCTTGCTATGCGGCCTTATGTCTGCTTTGCTTCTGGTCGGACGCGGTGCCCGCCAACGGGGGCCCCATCAGTATTGCGTTGGCGACGGGCCCGACCTTGCGATTGCTCCTGCGCGGCGCCGCAATGCGCGTTGACGATATCTTAGGAGGCGCAGCCTATTTTGCCGATGTTCAGTCTTCTGCTGTTCATGGGATAGGGCTGGGGCGAGAGGCTCAGGGGGGCATTGATCCCCAATCGCCCATTCGTCGCCGATGGGGGCCTGAGATCCCCACCCGCCCAGCCAGGAACCTGCGGGCTCGCTATTGGGGACTTATCGCCGATCTGTCAGTGATGCATCGCCGATTCCAGCCTGCTGTTTCCTTCCTTGAGCCGGTCCGAATCGGTCCCCCTTTGTCGTTCTCCATCAGTCGGGGCCGCGCATCCAGAGTTGAATCGTTTTTCCTCCGGCAGTGCTCGCACTTAGGGTCTCTCACTTCGGTGGCTGAGGAGTTGGGTGGGTCCGCCGAGGTTCCGCCACGTGGCCGCCCGTTGCCCCCTCGTTGCCGCCCGCTTCGCGCTTGGGGGGTCCGCCGAGGTTCCGCCACCTGGTCGCCCGCTGCCCCCTCGTTGCCGCCCGCTTCGCGCTTGGGGGGTCCGCCGAGGTTCCGCCACCTGGTCGCCCGCTGCCGCCTCGTTGCCGCCCGCTTCGCGCTTGGGGGGTCCGGCGAGGTTTCGCCCCGTGGCCGCCCGCTGCCTTCGCGCTTGGGGGGTCCGCCGAGGTGCCTCCTCGTTTCGGGTATGGCCAGGACCCCGGGTAAGGGGACCCGCTTAGTGGTGGGGCCCCGGAGGCGTCGAATCGGCCAGCATCGCTAAATCAGGTTTGCCATAGCTGCTGCTTCTTCGGGTGACGGCAGTTTTCCGGGTAGTGGAAGTGGGACGGGGGGGCGCCCCCGGCACAGATCACTAAACCAGGTTCCCCTAAACCCAGTTCTGCCAACGCCCGATTGTTTCCGCCCCGTCGCAGCCTCGTGCGCTGCTCGGGTTCCCCGCGCTGCGGCCCGCTGCCGCTCGACACTGCCGCCCCGTGGCCGCGCCGTCGTTGCCGCCCCCGTGCGCTGTGCAGGTCTGCCGAGGCTTCGCCACGCTGCCGCCCAGCGTGCCGACCTGTGGAGAGCCCTGCCCTGTCCGTGTTCCTTCCGTGGGTGCGTTGATACTGAACGGCTTCGCGTGTCGGGGTGATCATCCTGGGGGTGGATGTGCTGCCCTCTACTGGGGGGGGGGGGGGGGGCGGGGCGCACCCAACGGCCCCCCAGGCGACCGTGGAGCGTCGACGAGAGGGGCCCGAGGGCCCACCCCGCCCAGGAACGTGCAGAGTCGCGCTCGGGGGGGCCCACCGCCGAGGCGCCGGCGGGGTGCCGCCGACGGCACGCCGAGGCTGTCTTTCCCACGCCGGCGCCACGCTGCACCACACGGCTTGCACTTCGAAAGTGCAGGAACTCACACGTTCGGGGTCCACGCGGGCAGCCATTCCTCCCTGCGGGGAAGAGAGCCACTCGGGGGTCCTCAAGCGCAGGCGTTCGGTTTTTGTTTTTGGCCAGGGCCTCCGAGTGCCCTGTCCTTGTCCTCCTCCTGTGCTGCCCCTGTGTTCATGGTCGGGCGGGCCCGAGATCCCGAATGGCGGTTCCAAACATCGCCTATGTCCCGTCATCCCTCTTGCCACGACGTGAACCACGAGTACGCGTGAAGAGATTGTTCGGCGTGCGTTGCGCATCCGTTTGCTTCAAACACGACGCGCAGCCGTGACACTGGAGAGCGACAGCGCGAAACCCAACTGTCTTCAACAGTCGGTGTGGCGACACGGAACACTCGTCACGACTTCGTAACGGTGCCATTGCGACACGGGGCCGTTACGACCCGGCGCCGTGCACAACTCGAGCTTGCCCTCTTCTGGGTGTTCACGCCCTTGTTTGAAACTGCTTGGCGTCCCGTTGGGTCACTGAGTCACTGCCGCGATGCTCTTCGGCCCTTGCCCCCGTTCGCCTTTCGGCCCTCTCGTCCGTCCCCCTCGTCGTGCTGACGTGCTGTTGCAGTTGGGCGAGGGCCGCCACGAGGGCGCGAGGGTGTTCGCGGTTCGCGCTTCGGGCCTCATCCTCATCTTCTTCGGCCTCTTCTTCTCACTTGGGGGGTAGGGGCGAGAGCGCGAAGCTGTTCGCGCTTCGCAGGAGCGCGAGGCGCGAACGTAGCTGGCCTTGTTAAGGGAGCTGAGGCTTGGCGTCAGCCCACGTCCAGGCAACATGTTGTCGGCGTCACCCCAACATACTAATACTATGTGTGCGTCGCTCCCCCCAGGGGCGACGCGCGCACCGAGAAATCGTATAGTATGCGTCGAAGCGGGTGCTTCTGGCCACACCGCTCGGGAACCGAGATACGACAAGATGGGTATACCATATGTTCGGGTCGGACGCGCGACTTCAAGGAGGGAGGACAGATGGGGCGCTCCAAAACGGGTCTTGCCTTCGAGAATCGAAGGAGTTACCATCTTTGGAAGGGCGGCGGAAGGTCGGCGGAGGTAGAACGAGGCCGCCTCCGCCGGTGGAGGCCAGCGGAAGGCTGGCGGAAGGCAGCGGAAGTAGAAGATGCGGCCCCACGAGATGACTACGTTTTTGGGTTCCGGGTTTCCGACATCGCCCATACAGCGAGCTGTTTGAATAAGGAACGCTTACTTTTCGAAAGGGGTTCGGTCGTTTCCATTTATCCTTCCTTATGTGCTATGTCTGATTTGTCGTTCCTCGTGCGTTACTCCTTGGAAGAATGGAGGCTTCCTTCCTCATTCATCGTTCCTCAGGTCAGGCCGATGATTGTATGTCAGGAGGAGAAAAAACACACAGACACAATTAATCGCCGATTCCCCAGAAAATATGTGAAAATATGGGCAGTGGGGGGGAAGACAGAAACCCCGAAAATATGAGAAAATAAGAGAATATTTTTATTTGTGTGTATTTATTTGTGTGTCCTGGGGCCCCTTCAGTATGTTCGGGCCGGGCGCACGCCTCTGGGGAGTGCACGCGGTGCCAGCCTGTCCCTGCGCATCCCATGCTGGTCCCAAGGAGCCGCCACAAGAGCGCGGCGGACGACCCCCCCCTCCCCCCCCCCATTGCCAGCCTGGAACATATCCCTATCCCTATGCTGGGCATCTCCTCATCACGATGCCAATCTTAGGGGTTCCCTTATTCTTGGAGGGCGCATCCCTGAGATTGTCATCGCCTCGTGGCGTGTCAATCTTAGGGATGGGGATAAGTTTGAGGCTGGTAACCCCAGGAGAAGAGGGCGGTGCTCGAGGAGCTGAGGGCCAAGGCGGGCATCCTCACCGAGACGCTGCGCCAGCTCGAGGAGGGCCCCGGCACCAGGGGGGGGGGCGCAGACGGGCCCGCCTCGAGACATGGGTCAGGGGGCAACTGCGGGGGGGGAGCAGGCATAGTGGGGGAATAGGGGGCCACGTGCGAACCCTACCCCTACCCCCCACGATTTCTGAGGGGGAGGGTGGGGTTCACTTCGCTCGGAAGCTCCCGAACGAAGTGAACCCCACCCTCCCCCTCAGAAATCGTGGGGGGTAGGGGTAGGGTTCGCATGTGGCCCCCTAGGGGAATGCATCGACCGCGGATTCACCATCGGGGGCCTATGGCCGATCTATCGGCGACGTATCGCCCATTCGAGGTCGATGTTTCCCCCCCCCCCGCCCGCCATGCCGATCCCCCCTCTCGTTGCCCCTCACATGGGGGCCGCGCCACGCGGAGGGAGGAGGCAGGGAGGGCCGAGAGCGGGCCGCGCGCGCGGCCACGTGCCCCTGCGGGCTCCGCAGGCATTGGCTGGGCCATCCTGTGAGTAGGGCCTCCTCTGGCTCCGCGCCCGTCAGGGGTCCCGTGGATTGTGTGTTTGGGAGCCGGGGCCCGCCTCCCCTCTTGGCTGGGGAGGGATTCAAGGGAAGGGGCTTGCTTCCCTTCGAGTGTATGGCGACGTTGCTCAATGCCGCTTCGGCTGACTCGCTTGAGGAGGAGGACCCAGCACAGGAGAGAGCAGCGGCGACGGGCACAGGGAAACGAGGGCGCAGGTAAAGAGGACGACAGAGACGACGATGAACGAATGACGGCGATGACGACTAGAACGGAAAAGCCTTTCACACACGCCGACAGGGTCGGGGATTTCTTAATTCAAGTTCGGTCGGCCAATATGTACATCTCATTGAGCATGCTTAGCTTTACCTCGCGTTGCCTGAATCGTTGATCAGGCAGGGTAGGGTTCGGATTTCGCCGCCGAACACCCCCAGCCAGGACCCCCAGTCCTGGCTGGGGGTGGGGGTGGTGTTTTGGATGGGGTTCCTGGGAGCCACGAGCCAACCCTCGCCTCCGTTGGGGGCGGGGGTGGTAATCTGCAGGTCTTGGGGGCCAGAAACCACCCTCAACCCCACTCAAGACCCTTTGGATCACCAGGTCAGGAGTGGGGGTCCCGACCTTTTGTGGGCCCCAGAAACGGCAGGGCCGTTTTTTCAACGTTTCCAGAAAAATGCCCCTTGAAAATGGAAACGGCAGAAAAACTGCGACCGGAAACGGCAAAAAAACGGTTCCGGGATTGGAGCCGGAGCCGGAACCGGTCGAAAAACGGCGACGGAACCGGTAAAACAACGGCGTCGGAACCGGTAAAAACACGGCAAAACGGAACCAGTAAAAAAACGGCCCTGTCGTTTCCAGGGCCCACTAAGGTCCTGACTGGGGGTTGAAATGGGTTGTGCTGTCCTCCCTGGCGTCGCTTGTTTGGCTCCTCACACAGCGGGAGCTGCTGCCTCGTTTCGGGCCGCGGGACCTGCACGGATCGATCCGGCTCGACAGCTGCAGCAGACAGATTCGGTCCAGGGCTCCAGTCGGAGTGGTTCTGCGATGTGGAATTTTGCACATGGCGTCGGCTACACGTGGATCCCACTCCTGCAGGTCAGGTTCCCGAAACACCAGTCGCAGGCCTAGAGGTTGACACCAACACCAATATCGGCGGTGTGCCTCCTCCGGGGGAAGACGATCCCGCTCTCGGTGATGGTGGCAATATTCTGGCTTCCAAGGTGGCCGAACTATTACCACCAACACCGAAATCTAGGATCATCTTCCCCCTGTGGAGGCAATCCCCTGTTTTGATGTTGGTGCCAATGTCCAGGCCTCGAAACCAGCTGGGGGTCAGAGCCCGAAGAGGATGTCTGCAGACAGGCGAGCGTCCCAGCGGGGGCGCCAGCCGCCCCAGCGCCGACGGGACCCGCAGGGGTAGGGTTCGCAGGTGGTCGCAGAGGGCGGGCTCTCGACCGGCGGCCGCGGCCGCGGCCGCGGCCGCGTGGAGGGGGGCGCCTCGAGGATGAGGCCCCGATCGGGTATGGCCAGAACTCCGGGTAAGGGTGCGGGCAATAGCTATATCTACATCCAGTGCGTCTTGGAGTGTTGGGCTCTCTTCCCCAGGAGCCGGAGGCGCACTGGATATGGATAAAGATTTGGCCCCGCAAGGTTAGATTTTGTTATCCATGTCCAGTGCGCCTGGGCCTTGCGACACCCCTGCCCAAAAAGTCCAAGACGCTCTGGATATGGATATAAGTATCGCCCACAAAGGGGACCCGGTTAGTGGTAGGGCCCTGGAGCCTTCGAATCGGCCAGAATCACCAAATCAGGTTTGCCTTAGGTGGTGTCTTTTCGGGTGACGGCAGTTCTGGTTCGTGGCAATGGGGTGGGGTGGCGCCCCCGGTACAGATCACTAAACCAGGTTCCACTAAACCCAGTTCTACCAACGCCCGACCTGAGACGTGTGTCCCTTCTTGGATGCCTGATCGCTTTGCTCAGCGTTGAAGCCCCTCTAAGTGACTATTCGCAGACCCCAACAAATCGACTAACAACTCCTGGCTTACAGGACTCGATCGATGCTGATGATTACTGACGGGGTAACACAACTGTATCAACGATGCGTGCAAGGTTGCCCGGCTCAGCTGAGTATTCTTTGGCTTTGCGAGCATTGTCGTGGTAGGCCTATAGGAATGCCGAGACTGTCGTCCCCTGCTCAATACAGTGGAAATCCCTGCCAAGAAAACACCCTGCTTGCGTCCAGGTTGCCCTGGGTTTCTTGGGTTCCGATGGCTCTTTGCTGTGGCCAGCGTGGCATTCCCTCTCCAATGGACGTCCTGGGATTTTCAGGGTTGGGTTTCCTGTGGGAAGTTTCTTGTGGTCGGGCCCCCACTGTACAAGTATTCGCCCGGGAGCCTCAGCGGAGGCATGGGCCGCCGGCGCACTTGGACACGTGTATAGCTCTCCCCTTGGCGCTTCTATTCGCCCCCCTCGTCGCCCCCGATATGGCCAGGACCCTGGTTGAGGGGAGCCGGTTAGTGATGGCCGCCCCCCCCCCCCCCCCCAGGAGGGTCGGGGGCTCTTGGTTCCGCGGCTGACACCTGGGAACACCATATGTACCAAGGACGACGAAGACGTCGGCGGGGTCGGCGATTCGCCGCCGTCCTCGCCGTCGTCGTCGCTGTCGTCGTCGCCCGTCGCCGTCGCCGTCGTCGTCGCCGTCGTCGTCGGCGTCGTCGCCGCCGCCGTCGTCGTTCGTTCGTCGCCGCCACCGTACGCAATCGTTCGTCGTCGCCGCCGCCGCCGCCCGTCATCGTCGTCCTCGTTCGTCGTCGTCGTCGTCGCCGTGTCCGCCGCCGTCGTGTCGCCGCAACGTCACCATCCTCGTCGTTTCTCCGCCGTCGTCGCCGCCACCGTCGCCATCGTCGTCGTCGCCGCCGCCGCCGTCGTCGTCGTCGCCGCTGCCGCCGCCGTCGTCGTCGTTGTTGTGGTCGAGCTTTTTGGAAGTCGAGCAATGGAGAGGAAGCATGTTGCCAAACACGTCGCCGTCGCCATCGCCGTCGTCGTCGCCGTCGCCGCCGTCGTGGCCGTCGTCGTGGCCGTCGCCGCCGTCGCCGCCGCCGCCGCCGTGGTGGCCGTCGTGGCCGCCGCCGTTGCGGTCGAGCTCCGGCTCGGCCGCCCCCGCGCCGAGAGCCCGCCGGCCCGCCGGCCCCGCCGCGGGGCGCCCGGGAGCCGCAGCATGGGCGCCTGCGCCGCCGGGCTCCGCGGCCTCGCCATATGGGCGGGGGGCGCCGGCCGCGCAGCGCGCGGCAAGCCCGGCGGAGCCCCGCCCCGCGGGGGGCCCCGTCGAAAAAATCGGCCACGCGCAGACTGAAGTCGGGCCTGTCCCTCTACAGGAGGAGTATTCAATAATAGTAAAACGTAGTCTGGTGCCAATTTTTTAGTATTTTTTGGCATCTTTTGGATTTTTTTTGAATATTTTCAATTTTTCGTCCAAAATCCCCCTGTAGGGGGACACGCCCGAGTAGTCCCTCTGCCCAACAGCAGGTCCTGGTCATTTTGAGCAGGGCTCGCTGTCCGCGCCGCCGCGGCCCGTGTCCATTTGAGACGGGAGGCCGCCTGCCCAACAGCGGCCGCTGTTGGTTTGGGACAAGTTTTGTTGTTGGGCATTGTACCCAATCTTTCCGTGCCCATTTCGGGCGTCCAAATGAGGGAGGGGTCGGGGGCTCCGGGGGCCGCGGCGTGAACACCAATCGCATCGGAGGGTGACGAAGACGACGGCGTGGTCGGCGGTTTCGTCGTCGTCGTCGTCGTCGGAGCCTTCTTAGAGGGCCCGCCCCTTCTCGTTTCCCCCCCCGAGCGCGCCGCCAACTCACAGACGGGCTCCGAGCGAGGGGCCCGGTGCTTCCGTGCCCAGGGTTGGTAGGCTGGCCTCCCACGGCCTGGACGACGCCCCCTTATCGGTGCGATTGGCACGGCGCTCGAGGCGTGCCGCCTTGGCAGTGCTCTGCCGCGGTGCTCTCTGAGTCGTGTCGGTTCTCCTCATCGCCGATGCATCGGGGATGCGTCTCGATGTGGAGCTCGATTTTCCCCACGCCGACGTTGCCGATGCATCGCCGACGTCGCCGACGCATCGGCGGTGTATCGGCGATGCATCGGCGATGCATCAGCGATGCGGCGTGGTCCTCCGACACCATCCACTCGGCGGCCGAGCGGGCGAGGGCAGCCCTGGGGCGCGTGCGCCTGCCATGTGGGCGGCCTCCAGCACGGTGCACGGCGCATGGCCGGCGCCACCCCCCCCCGTCCCGTGCGCAGAGCGACCTGGCGCGCGCTCAGCGGCCAGCGCGGCCGCCTGCCGCGCCGCCTCCGCCGACCCCGGCGGCGACCTCGGCGGCGGCCTCGCCGACGGCCGGATCGTGACGCGGCTCGAGCTCGGTTCCGGCAGGGCCCTCGTGGTCCGGCGCTTCGGCGGCCGCGGCGCGGCCCAGGACGCCGCCTGTCGTCCGCGCCGCCTCCCCCTTGCCTTGTCGTCCTCGTCGGCGTCGTCTGTGGCGCTACGCCCCCCCCCGCCGTGCACATGCACGCCTCCGTCGCCCTCGCCGCCGCCGCGGCCGCCGCCTCGGCGGCCGCAGCGCGGCCGTCCGGACGCCGCCGTCTCAGCCGCGCCGCCTGTCGTCCACGTCGCCGCCGCCCTCCTCTCAGAGGAGGGCGAGCTGAGGCAACGGCAGTTTGCCTTCAGGGAGTCCCCTCGTGGCCACGGCTGGGCGCAGCTCGGACGACTTGGTGCGTCGTAGAAGCCCCTGGAGGGGTCCAGTGGAGCCCCAGCGCCGATGCAGGAAGCGCCGCCAGTGGAGATCCAGGGCCGCGGCGTGAACGCCCATCGCCTCGGAGGATGACGAAGCCGTCGGCGCGGTCGGCGATTTCGCCCTTGGGCCTCCGAAAGCTTCTGCCCACGCCGTCGCCCTCGTCGCCTGCGCCCTTGGCGCCCTCCCCGCGCGC